CTCCTAGCTTGTAGGGTTTCTGTAGAGAAATCTGCTGACAGTCTGATAGGGGCTCCTTTATAGGTTATTCTTTTTTTTCTTACTTCCTTGAGTATTCTTTCCTTATCATTCCTATTTGCCAACTTTACTATTATGTGCCTTGCAGTGGGTCTTTTTACATTGACAAATCTAGGAAATCTAAAACCCTCCTCTACACACATTTCTCCATTGATCCCTAGATTTGGGAAGTTCTCTTCAATAATTTCGTTAAGCACACTTTCTGCTCCATTTTCCTTTTCCATATTCTCGGGAATTCCTATGATCCTTATGTTCTTACTCCTCATTGAATCCATTATCTCTCGGAGATTTTCCTCATTTTTTTAAATTCTTAGTTCTCTTTCTTCCTCTGTCTGGCGCCATTCAGCCTGTCTGTCCTCGATTATGCTGATTTGCTCCTCTAGGTTGTCTACACGGGCATTCAGGGAATCCGTATTCTGTTTTATCTGGTCCATTGTGTTTTTCATCTCAAATAATTCTGTTTGATTCTTCTTTATGATTTCAATCTCTTTTGTGAAGTAACTCCAGAACTCGGCTTGTTTCTCTATCTTTCTCTCTACCTCATTGAGTTTTTTGATTATAGCTGCTCTGAATTCATTATCACTTAGTTTACCTAATTCCAAGTCCTCAGGACTTAATTCTGTGTTTTTATTGTTTTCCTTCTGGTCTGGGGCTTTTATAAATTGCTAGATGGTAGAGGAGCGGTTTTTTCGCATGGTGGTAGAATTCAGTTGCAGTTACAGCCTGTCGCCACTAGATGGGGGTCGAGAGCAGCGTGTTAGCTCGCCGCCTTGGGGCAAGATGGCTGCGCCCACTGGCTTTGTTATGGGGGAGGGGCTGTTACTCACACGCGCCCCTCTGGGTTCAGATCAGTTCTGTTCTCTGGTCTCCCAAGGCCCTTGATTTATAGGGTCCCCGCGGACGGAAGCTTTCCCCCCGTCAGCGGGTCTCCACTGAATCAGCGGCAGGAGTCCTGGATGATCCTCCGGTCGCGCGGCCCCTCCCCCGCTCCTTCCGGACCCACGCCGCAGCGATCGCAGACTCTAGGGGAGGGAGCCATGTTCTCTCCTACCGTTCCAGCGCCTCCGAAGGTGTAAAGCAAGGTTTACGATCTCCGCCTTCTTGGTATTGTAGGTCTAACGAGCTGACATTATGTTTATTCTCTGAAATTCAGTTCTTCCAATCTTTTGTTGTATTTTGGAGGGGAGAGAATCCCGGTCAGCTCACGCCGCCATTTTGCTCCGCCCACCCACAAATTTTCCACTTTTTATTCATACATCTTCATAGTAAGGTGAAGGCAGCAGCTTCTTTCTTAAGGTATTTATACTTTGTTTTCTGTTATTTCTTGAGCTGAATTATAGTTTAATAACTAAATTTTAAAAATGTGTTGACTCGTGAAAATCTGAGAGTAGTTTTGATAGAGTACAATAGGGGTGGGCAAACCATGGCCAGTGGGCTGGCCTTCTAATTTTGTAAATAAAATGTTATTGAAATGAGGTCATTCCCATTCATTTATAGATTCTCTATGGCTGTTTTCCTGCTATACTGACAGTATTGAGTACCAGTGACAAAGATCATGTGACCTACAAGCCTAAAATCTTTGCTATCTGATCCTTTACAGGAAAAGTTTGCCAACCCCTACTGTCTAACTTTATCTTGAATGTTATTCATAAAAGTAAAAGAATCTGAAATAGCTATGAGGTACACTTTCAAAGCCCAAACAACTCTCATAGTGATTTTCTGGTCTCTTGAGGAAACACTAACTTAGGCAGTTTTCTAATAAACCTAGTAAGAAATGAGTATGTTGATTTCTGACACTCCATAAACCAACGGAGACAAACCTAATTTCTTACATGCTTCCTTGGAGGTGCTACAGGTTTTTGGCTCCTGCACTGTGTCATGTAAATCCATTTTGCTGACAGCTCTGCTGGTAAAACTGAAGCTGGAATTAATATCCATTATCGAAAGGTCATTGCACAGGGACGAGCCATCAGCCAGTTTTAAAATGTTAATAACTCTGATATTTTTCAAATATAAACAAAAGGTCTTCTTGGTTTTATAATTCCTTCCCTAAACATTTTGTTTAAAAAATGAAAATGTTTAAGCAAAAAACCTGAATTATATAATGCAGGTGTGTGTTGGTGATATGTCAACGACTCTACTTATCAGAGTTTGTGCACTTTGTGGCATGCCTCACAGGTGGCAAACACTGTACTAAGGTCCTTATGTATATTACCTACCATACTTCATTGAGTCTAAACACCGTTATTTTATGTACCACTAAGAAAGAAAAAATGCAGCCAATTACATTGTCATATGCTTTCTCGCTAAGAACTTCATTTTATACTCAAAGCAAGCGCTCTTTGAGACTACTTTGATATGGTTTTCCTCATATATTGCCTTTATGAATATATAAAAAGGAAAATATAAGTAAAATTAATTGGTTTAGGTTTTCTAAAAAGTTCTTTTCATTTGGAGGCTGCCTTTCACAATTTTCAACTCTGAATCATCAACGTGCATGTTGTTCCACATGCTGTGTTCCATCAAAGCAATGATGCAGGAGAGCATCACTGAGGCACACTCTCCCAAGGGGTTTACTTCTGGGGTGCTCATGCCCCTTCTGCAAGGTTCAACATGCACGTGCCAGCAGCAATAACTACGTCAGGACCGCTACGTGGATAGCAGTGGTTGATGGACTGATTTCAGAGATATTAAAATGTGAGGTGAAAAAATGTGTGCCTTAGAATTCATCCTACCACTAACTATTAGTGTATGGTCTGAGGATGAAACTCATTTTGACACTGGCCTACTACAGGGCTGTAATAAAGCACTGAATGACAGGAACAATAATTTCTACTTTATCTACATTACAGTTCACTTATTACCCAATGGTGATTTTTAAAGTATCAATATTAGAAATAACTGTATGTTTGGAATAGGAATTTAATTTTGTATGGAATGTAATGAATATATAAAGCAATGATTGAGCCAGAATTGATTCAAAATAAAGATTAACAAGAAGACTTTACACATTTAGTGGCCAAGGAGTTTGGAGAACACCAGAGTGTGATAGCAAGTCAGACCTGGTGCTCATCTCTGGAGACTGGAATAGACTGTTCTGTAGGCCACAAGGATCTTCCCTTCCCTCGCTTGTAACCTCCACTAGCAGGGGCCAGGAAGGAGTTCCCAACCTCTGTGTACTTCTGGAATTTCACTACCCTTCCTCACCCTACCACACCCACAGCCTGACTACCCTCCTCAACCTAAAGACCATCTGGACTCATCATGCCTTTTGTCTCTATTTATGTTGTTAGAAAAAGTTCAGGACTCCCAGGTCATCCACAATCTCCTGCAGTCTAAACAGGAAGGCCTTTCAGAGGCCACATCCCATCCATTCCCAACTTCTGAACCTCTTTCCATTATGACATTTGGATGCATACAGTAAACATTTTAGGCTTTGTGGGCCATGTGGTCTTTGTCTCAACTATTCAATGCTACCATTACACAGCAAAACCAGCCAAGGACAAAATGCAAATGAATAGACGTGTCTATGTTCCAACAACAAAACTTTACTTGTAAAGGTAAGCAAACAGTTGGCAGGCTACAGTTTACTGAATCTCAGATCAATGGTCTGTACCACCTACTTCCTCTCCCCCAATTGCTATCGTCCTCAGACCACTAAATCACTCAATGTTCAATGTTACCCAAATGCTACTCTAGTCCTAATTATTTTTGTGATTTCCACTTCACTCCACAAAACCTGGAATGGAGCTAGGTATAAAGAAAACTGAAGCTTATACAGTTCAAGGGTGGCACTGGACTACAAGAAAAATAAAACAAAATTACCAATGTAAAATTGCCCCTGTGTAAATAAAGGCCTCTGACACTTAAGCTTGATGTTAAATCTACCTGTGCTTTTCTTCTGATGCTCCAACTCTCAGAGTCCATTAAACACAAAATTTCAGTAGCAAACAAGGTGTCCTTCAGTAGGTGACTGGCTAAATAAACTGTGGTACATTCAGACAATGGAATATTATTCAACACTAAAGAAATAAGTTATCAAGCCATGAAAAGACATGGAGAAACCTGAAATGCACACTAGTAAGTGAAAGAAGCCAATATGAGAAGGCGACATACTATATGATTCCATCTATGTGACATTCTGGGAAAGAAAAAACTATGGAGACAGTAATGGCTGCCAGGTGGGGCAGAGGGTGGTCAGGGGGACAATGAATAGGCAGAACACAGAGGATTTTGAGGGCAGTGAAAATACTATGTATGATATTATAATGATGAATATGTCATTATTCATTTCTCCAAACCCACAGAATGTACAACACCAAGAGAGAACCCTAAGGTAAACTATGGACTTTGGGTGATGAAGATGTGTCGATGCAGATTCATCTCTGGTAACAAATGTACCACTCTGGTGGGAGATGTTGATAATCCAGGAGGCTATGCATGTGTAGGGGCAGGGGTTATACAGGAAATCTCTGTCAAATCCCTCTCAATTTTGTTTTAAACCCAAAACTGTTCTAAAAAAATAGTCTCAAAAGTTGTTTTAAATTGTAATATGGCAGATATGTATAAGATGTAAAGTAAGGCCACAATCAACCCATCCAATCTCGTTTTACAAGGTGCTTTTGACCATATATGTTTTTCTTTCGATTGGCAGCAATAAGTCTAAACACTATGCTTACACTTCTATTTCTTGGTTTATCATCTCTAAGCAGTGCCTACCAACTTTGTGCCATGAAAGAGAATGAATGAACTTAGGCAAACTATCATGATCTAACTACACTTCTCATTTTTGCTGGTAATACTATTATTTACAGATCCTTCAGCATTTATTTTGACTGATCAACTTTAAATAGTACTTCTTGACTCCCTACCATGTAAGATGAGAAAACTTACAAATAGATAAAACTCAACAGAATCAGAGACTAATTCTAGGAAGTATTTACCTTGTTCATAAAGCAGCTTCATATTCAAATCTTTGCAGGCAACCAGATTGTTGAGCAATGCAATCACACTTTGCATGGTGTTACCCAGAATGTTCTCCTGATGTTCCTATAATAGAGAATAATTTTCATTACAACTATATAGAAATACAATTGCATGATAATAAAGACAAATGACCAAATGACCTCCATCCCTTTATGCTTTGCACAGGGTTAAATGATTATCTTTTCACACTTTAATGAAGCAGACCCTCCTGTGATACGGCACTCCCCAACAGTGAGTTAAGTGAGCTGGGAGGCAGGACGAATCATTCAGAGCACCAGCACTGTTGCACATGGTCCCCTGCCCAAGAGCAGAGGGACAAACACACAGCCCACCATGCTTTAGATGGACAACAAAGGAGGCAGAGTGACCAGAAATCAAGTATGTGGGCCTTAGGAGACCACACTTGAAAGTGATGTTGAGATCACAAAAGAAAACTACTTAAAGAAATAATTCTGCAGTTTCAAGAGTAAACCAGTACTATTATTTTCCTACTTTAGTCTTGTACATTGATGGTTATGTTGGAGCTGACTTATTGCATCACTGCTCCAGTGTAATGAACTAAATTTGAGACCTAAAAGTGGATTTTGCTTTCCTCCACACTTAACATCGTATAGCAGAGAGTAACTTTGGCCCCAAGGAGAATGAGGAAAACGAGTAATCCTTCAGTCTTAACTTCTCATTTTAAAGCAAATAGGATAATTTCTTTGTAATTTTCAAAGGATTTCAAAAATAATTTGCTTTAGGGAGGAGGATCCAAGATGGCGGCGTGAGTAGTCTTCTTTGTCTCTCCCCCTTCGAATCTACAACTAATTGGACATTCATCACTTAACAAAGGATATCCATATAGCATCTCAGGACGCCTGAGAGACCCACGCTGCTATACATCGGAAGGCAGACGGACTTCCCTCCAGGAGGAGGTGGAGATAGGTAAAAACTCTCCAACCCCAACCCCCAAACAGCCTAGTACCTGCAAGCGGCTTTCTTCCAGCGGATGCCACCAGAACATCGCCACACACCAAGGGCAGGAGGGAGCGCACACCAGAGGAGTGACGGTGGAAACAGGTGACCAGAGCCCTACCTAAGGCCCCCGCAATTACACCTAAGCTCAGAGGGAAGCTTCAGAGTTACACACCGGAGACAGCGGGGAAATCCCCTACCCGCCATTAGCGGAGAGGCCTCTCCCAGCATCCACAATGCTGGGAGGCTCCCAGAGAGAATCCCCAACGGGGCAGCAGCCCGCCAGCTGCCGCTGCCAGTCTCACAGACTGTGGCTGTCGCCCGATCCGGGCTCGGGACTACCGGAGATCTCCTGGGAGAGGACTGGGGCTGGGTGGAGCTCCAGCGGCTGGCTCCATGGCCCGGGGGGGAAACTCCAGAGTTCCGTCTGGGCAGCAGGCAAAGTCTCTACCTGTCATTAGCGGAAAGGCTCCGCCCAGCATCCACAACACCAGGAGGCTCCCAGAGAGAATCCCAAATGGGGCGGCGGCCTCCCAGCTGCCGCCGCCAGTCCCACTGACTGCGACTATCTCCCGCTCAGGTCTCGGGGCTACCGGAGATCTCCTGGGAGAGGACTGGGGCTGGGTGGAGCTCCAGCGGCCGGCTCCAAGGCCCAGGGGGGAAACTCCAGCGTTCCGTCTGGGCAGCAGGCAAAGTCTCTACCTGCCATTAGCAGAGAGGCCCTTCCCAGCACCCACAACACCAGGAGGGTCCCGAAGAGGAGAATCCCAGGCAGGGCAGCAGCCGGTCAGCTGCCACTGAACTCAAGGTCTCTGGCTATCCCACAGACAGGGCAAGGGGCTCCCTGAGATCCTGGGGGAGAGGACTGGGGATGGGTGGAGTTCCAGCGACCCAGCTCTGTGGCCCAGGGGGAAACTCTACAGTCTCACAGCAACCTCAGCGAAAGCCTCTGCACAGCACTAGTAGAGAGCACCCACCCCACAACCACAAGGCTGGAAGACCCTGGGACAAAAGTAGCATAGCTAGGTGAGCTAACCACAGACTGCAGAAGATGCCCATAGCTCTGCTGTGACCCATAGTGGACAAGTGAGATTTTTGTGGGCGCCGACAGTGACAGAGCTGCAAATATAAGTGATCCTGCCCCTGGCCGCTGGGAAAGCCCATAACACCGCTGCAGACCCTAAGGAGGGAGCACGTCTAGGTGGTCTGCAACAGTAGGCACCAGCAGCCTGAAGCCCCCTTGTGATGGCCCCCACAGCTGAAGAGGGAACCCACAGGACCACTGTGACTACGAGGAGGGGCCCAGGCCCAGTTAGCAACAGCTGATAGGGTTCCTGCTTGGTGCAGTATAAACAGCTGTTCCCCCACCACACCAGTAGAAACAAGTGGAAGCAGTAACTAAACTCTATCTCTATGCAGAGGCACAAATCTACACCATCAAGCAATATGAAAAAATATACTAAATCTCCAGAACAGAAGGAAAATGAGAAATACACGGAAAACAATCCCAAAGACAATGAAATATATAACCTAAATCATGATGACTTCAAAACAGCCATCATTAAAAAACTCAATGAGTTAAAAGAGAATTCAGATAGACAACTCAACGAGTTCAGGAGCTATGTCACAAAAGAGTTCGATACTATAAAGAAGAACCAAATGGAAATACTGGAAATGAAGAACACAATAGAGGAGATTAAGAAAAATCTAGACACACTGAACCGTAGGGCCGATAATGTGGAGGAAAGAATTAGCAATTTGGAAGATAGGAATATAGAAATGCTGCAGGCAGAGGAGGAGAGACAACTAAGACTAAAAAGAAATGAAGAAACTCTCGGAGAATTATCTGACGCAATTAGGAGATGCAACATAAGGATTATACGTATACCAGAGGGAGAAGAGAGGGAGAAGGGGGCAGAAAGCCTATTCAAAGAAAGAATGGCTGAGAACTTCCCAAACCTGCGGAGAGAGATGGAACTTCATGTGACAGAAGCCAATAGATCTCCAAACTTTATCAATGCAAGTAGACCAACCCCAAGGCATATAGTAGTGAAGCTAGCAAAAGTCAACGACAAGGAGAAAATACTAAGGGCAGCCAGGCAGAAGAAATTAACCTACAAAGGAACCCCCATCAGGCTATCAGCAGATTTCTCTGCAGAAATTTTACAGGCTAGAATAGAGTGGAATGATATATTCAAAAATCTGAAGGACAAAAACCTGCAGCCAAGAATTCTCTACCCAGCAAGAATATCCTTCAAATAGGATAGAGAAATAAAAACTTTCCCAGATAAACAAAAATTAAGGGAGTTGATTGCCACAAAACCTCTTCTTCAAGAAATGCTTAGGAAAACCCTCATTCCTTAAAAATCTAAAAAAGGAAAGGGGCTACAAAACCAAGAGCAGAGGAGATAAGTAGAAGGACAACAACAGAGAGTAGCAGCTCTACATCAGAACAGATTAAACCATGGGACGAGAAACAAAGGAAATGGAAGAGAACCAGAAATCAAGACATAAAATGGCAGCGGTAGGCCCCCACATTTCAATAATCACTCTAAATGTAAATGGATTGAACTCTCCAATCAAAAGATACAGAGTGGCAAGATGGATCAAAGAACAAGACCCAACAATATGCTGCCTCCAGGAAACACACCTCAGCCCCAAAGACAAACACAGACTTAGAGTGAAGGGATGGAAGACAGCACTCCAAGCTAATAATGAACAAAAGAAAGCAGGTGTCGCTATACTAATATCAGACAAAGTACACTTCAAGGCAAAACAGATAAAGAAAGACAAAGAGGGAGAGTATATAATGATAAAAGGGACTCTCCACCAAGAATACATAACACTTATAAATATATATGCACCCAACACAGGAGCACCGAAATTTGTAAAGCGACTCTTAACAGAACTAAAAGAAGACATCAACAACAATACAATAATAGTAGGGGACCTCAACACCCCATTAACACCAATGGATAGAACATCCAGACAGAAAATCAACAAGGAAATTATAGAATTAAATGAAAAATTAGACCAGATGGACTTAATAGATATAAATAGAACACTTCATCCAAAAACAGCAGGTTATACATTCTTCTCAAGGGCGCATGGAACATTTTCAAGGATAGACTATATTTTGGGAAACAAAGTAAGCATCAATAAATACAAGAGAGTTGAAATAATATCAAGCATCTTTTCTGATCATAATGCTATGAAACCAGAAATCAACTACAAGAATAAAGCAGAGAAAGGTGCAAAAATGTGGAGACAAAACAACACGCTACTGAACAAACAATGGATTATTGAAGAAATTAAAGAAGAAATCAAATATTATCTGGAGACAAATGAAAATGAGAACACGTCATACCAAATCATTTGGGATGCAGGAAAAGCAGTCCTAAGAGGGAAATTCATTGCAATATAGGCTCACCTCACTAAACAAGAAAAAGCTCACATAAGCAACCTTAAATGACACCTAACAGAATTAGAAAAAGAAGAACAAACAAAGCCCAGAGTCAGTAGAAGGAGGGAAATAATAAAAATAAGAGCAGAAATAAATGATATTGAAACAAAAAAGAGAGTAGACAGGATCAATGAAACAAAGAGTTGGTTCTTCGAAAAAATTAACAAAATTGACAAACCCTTAGCCAGACTCACCAAGAAAAGAAGAGAGAAATCTCAAATAAATAAAATTAGGAATGAGAGAGGAGAAATCACAACAGATACCAAAGAAATACAAGGGATCATAAGAGAATACTATGAAAAACTATATGCCAACAAATTGAACAACCTAGAAGAAATGGACAAATTCCTAGACTCTTACAACCTCCCCAAACTGAATCAGGAAGAAATGGAGAATCTGAATAGGCCAATCACAAGTAAAGAAATACAAACAGTAATCAAAAACCTCCCCAAAAATAAGAGTCCAGGACCAAACGGCTTCTCTGGAGAATTCTACCAAACATTCAAAGAAGATTTAATACCTATCCTTCTCAAACTATTCCAGAAAATCGAGGAAGATGAAGTACTCCCTAACACATTCTATGAAGCCAACATCACTCTGATCCCCAAACCTGACAAGGACAACACAAAGAAAGAGAACTACAGGCCGATATCACTGATCAACATAGATGCAAAAATCCTCAACAAAATTTTGGCAAACCGAATACAGCAATACATCAAAAAGATTATACACCATGATCAAGTGGGATTTATACCAGGGACACAGGGATGGTTCAACATCCGCAAGTCAATCAACGTGATACACTACATCAACAAAATGAAAAAAAAAAACCACATGATCATCTCAATAGATGCAGAGAAAGCATTCGACAAGATCCAACACCCATTCATGATAAAAACCCTCAATAAAATGGGTATAGAAGGAAAGTACCTCAACATAATAAAGGCCATCTATGACAGACCCACAGCCAACATCATACTCAATGGACAAAAACTGAAAGCCATCCCTCTGAGGACAGGGACAAGGCAAGGGTGCCCACTTTCACCACTCCTATTCAACACAGTACTGGAGGTGTTGGCCAGAGCAATTCGGCAGGAAAAAGAAATAAAAGGAATCCAAATAGGCAATGAAGAAGTAAAACTCTCACTGTTTGCAGACAACATGATCTTATATATAGAAAACCCCAAAGAATCCATAGGAAAACTATTAGAAACAATCAACAGCTACAGCAAAGTTGCAGGGTATAAAATCAACATACAGAAATCAGTAGCATTTCTATACACTAACAATGAACTAACAGAAAAAGAACTCAAGAACTCAATCCCATTCACAATCGCAACGAAAAGAATAAAATACCTTGGGATAAATTTAACCAAGGAAGTGAAAGATTTAGACAATGAAAACTACAAGACTTTCTTGAAAGAAATTGACGACGACATAAAGAGATGGAAAGACATTCCATGTACATGGATTGGAAGAATAAACATAGTTAAAATGTCCATACTACCTAAAGCAATCTACAGATTCAACGCTATCCCAATCAGAATCCCAAGGACATTCTTTACAGAAATTGAACAAAGAATCCTAAAATTCATATGGGGCAAGAAAAGACCCCAAATTGCTAAAGCAATCCTGAGTAAGAAAAACAAAGCTGGAGGCATCACAATCCCCAATTTCAAAACATACTACAAAGCTACAGTGATCAAAACAGCATGATACTGGTACAAAAACAGGTGCACAGATCAATGGAACAGAATTGAAAGCCCAGAGATAAAACCACACATCTATGGACAGCTAATCTTTGACAAAGGAGCTGAGGGCCTACAATGGAGAAAAGAAAGTCTCTTCAACAAATGGTGCTGGGAAAACTGAACAGCCACACGTAAAAGAATGAAAATTGACCATTCTTTTTCACCATTCACAAAAACAAACTCAAAATGGATCAAAGACCTAAAGATTAGGCCTGAAACAATAAGTCTTCTAGAAGAGAATATAGGCAGTACACTCTTTGACATCAGTTTCAAAAGAATATTTTCAGACACTATAATTCCTCAGATGAGGGAAACAATAGAAAGAATAAACAAATGGGACTTCATCAGACTAAAGAGCTTCTTCAAGGCAAGGGAAAACAGGATTGAAACAAAAAAACAGCGCACTAATTGGGAAAAAATATTTACAAGCTACTTACCCGACAAAGGGTTAATCTCCATAATATACAAAGAACTCACACTGCTTAACAACAAAAAAACAAACAACCCGATCAAAAAATGGGCAGAGGACATGAACAGACATTTCTCCAAAGAAGATATACGGATGGCCAATAGGCACATGAAAAGATGTTCATCATCACTAATCATCAGGGAAATGCAAATCAAAGCTATACTAAGATATCACCTTACACCTGTTAGATTGGCAAAAACAACCAAAACCAAGAGTGACAAATGTTGGAGAGGTTGTGGAGAAAAAGGAACCCTCATACACTGTTGGTGGGAATGCAAACTAGTGCAGCTACTATGGAAAACAGTATGGAGATTTCTCAAAAAGTTAAAAATAGAAATACCCTATGACCCAGCCATCCCACTACTGGGTATCTATCCTAAGAACCTGAAATCAGCAATCCCAAGAGTCCCATGCACCCCTATGTTCATCACAGCATTATTTACAATAGCCAAGATGTGGAACCAACCTAAATGCCCAGAAACTGATGATTGGATAAAGAAGATATGGTATATCTACACAATGGAATACTACTTAGACATAAAAAAGGACAAAATTGTTCCATTCGCATCAACATGGATGGACCTTGAGGGTATTATGTTAAGCGAAATAAGCCAGACAGAGAAAGACGAACCCTATATGACTCTACTTACAGGTGGAAGTTAACATATAGACAAGGAGAACTGATCGGTGGTTACCAGGGAAAAGGGGGGAAAGGGGGGAGGGCACAAAGGGTGAAGTGGTGTACCCACAACATGACTAACAATAATGTACAACTGAAATCTCACAAGGTTGTAATCTATCATAATCTTAATAAAAAAAAAAATTGAAAAAGAAAAAAATATAATTTGCTTTAGTTTGTTTTTTGTTTCTCTGAATGTTTAAAAAATCGAACAGTTAACTCAGATTATAACTGAAGTTATAAAATTCAAAGAATATAAAGATAAGGAAAAAGTCTTTAAGCTCCAGGACCAGGGTAAAGAAACCCAGACTCATAGGGTACAAAATGAAAGAACGGACTCACTCTCAGGTCTGCGCAAGCGCAAGCACTCACCAAAAGCAAGTGCTCCTAGGTGTCTAGCTTGCTTCATGCTAGTCCTGGCCTTGCCTCTCAACCACTCTGTTAATACTTAGTCTCATCCTAAAAAGTAACAGGTATATCAATTCAGTAGTCTCCATCCAGAACTTTCCTATTCATTCCACACACACACACACACACACACGCAGAGAAATATATGGTTTGCTCTGTTTTCTAAAAATATAAATTATATCACATTTACTAATTTGCACAAATAATTAATGAATAGCTATTATGTGCTGGGCACTGTTCCAGGCACTTGAGGTATGTTAGTGAACAAAGCAAGGTTCCCTATCCTCACAGAAACAGACAACAAGCAACAAGTATAATAAATAGGTAAATTGTATAATGTGTTAGAAAGTAACAAGTGCTATGGCAGAAAAGAGAAGAGAAGAGCAGGAGAAGGGGTTGAGAATTCAGCAATGGGGCAGCATATAATTTTAAACTGTGTGGTCAGGGTAGGACTCATTGAGAGGGTGTCAGTGAACAGAATTTTTATTTTATTTTTTAATTGCTGAAGCATCTTAGAATTTTTTGGATTATTAATTTATTTTTAATAAACTTTTCTTTGGAAATAGTTTTAGATTTATGGAAGAGTCACAAAGACAGTATAGAGAGTTTCCATATACCTTTCATCCAGCTTTCTCTATTGTTAATATCTTACCAAACAAAGGCACATTTAACAAAACTAAAGACCCAAATACAAACTACCAAGACTGAATCAGAAAGAAATAGAAAGTCTGAATAGACCAATTACTAGCAAGGACATTGAATCATTAATCAAAAATCTCCCAATGAAGAAAAGCCCAGGACCCGATGACTTCACTGATGAATTTTACAAAACATTTAAAGAAGAATTAATGCTAATCCTTCTCAAACTATTCCAAAAAATTAAGAGAAGGGAATACTCTCACACATTTTATGAGGCCAGCATCATCCTGATACCAAAGCCAGCAAAGGACACTACCAGAAAAGAAAACTACAGATCAATATCCTTGAAGAATACAGATGTAGAAATTCTCAATAAAATACTAGCAAACAAAATTCAGCAGCACGTTAAAAGAATCATTCACCATGATCAAGTTGCATTTATACCTGGGATACAAGAATAGCTCAACACATGCAAAATCAATGTGACACGTCACATTAATAGAATGAAAGAAAATCATATGATCATCTCGAGATGCAGAAAAAGCATTTGACAAAATTCAACATCCATTCATAATAAAAACTCTTAACAAATTAGGTATAGAAAGAAAGTACCTCAGGATAATAAAGGCCATATCTGACAGGCCCACAGCTAACGCCATACTCAATGGTGAAAGGTTGAAAGCTTTTCCTCTAAGATCAGGAACAAGACAAGGGTACCCATTCTCACCACTCTTATTCAATATAATACTAGAAGTCTTTGCCAGAGCAATCAGGCAAGAAAAAGAAATAAAAGACATTAGAATAGGAAAGGAAGAAGTAAAACTGTCTCTATTTGCAGATGACATGATTTTAAAAATAGAAAATGCTAAAGACTCAAACAAAAAACTGTTAGATCTAATCAATGAATTCAGTAAAGTTGCAGGATACAAAGTTAATATACAGAAATCAGTATTGTTTCTAAACACTAACAATGAATTATCTGAAAAAGAAATAAAACAATCTCATTAACAATAGCATCAAAAACAATAAAGTACTTAGAAGTAAACTTAACCAAGGTGGTGAAAGATCTCTATTTTGAAAATTACAAGATATTGATGAAAGAAATCAAAGAAGACACAAACAAATGGAAAAGTATCCTGAGTTTATGGATTAGAAGAATTAACATTGTCAATATGTCCATACTATCAAAAGCTATTTATAGATTTAATGCAATGCCTATCAAAATTCCAATGGGACTCTTTTCTTTTAACAGAAGTACAAAAAACAATCCTAAAATTTATGGAACCATAAAAGACCCCAAATAGCCAAAGCAAGCCTGAGAAAGAAGAAAAAAGTGGGAGGCATCACACATTCTGATTTCATGCTATATTATAAATCTTTAGTAATCAAAATGTAGTACTGGCATAAAAACAGACAAATGCATCAATGGAACAGAATCAAGAGCCCAAAAATAAACCCAAGCATATATCATCAACCAATATTTGACAAAGGTGCAAGAAGACTCAGTGGAGAAAAGATAGTTTCTTCAATAAATGGTGCTGAAAAAATTGGATATTCACATGTAAAAGAATGAAACTAGATCCCTAGCTTACATCACTCACAAAAATTAACTCTAAATGGATTAAAGACTCAAATGTAAGATCTGAAACCATAAAACTCCTAGGAGAAAACACAGAAAAAAAACTTACTTGACATGGATCTTGGTAATATTTTTTTGGATATGACACCTAAAGCACAAGCAACAAAATAAAAAATTAAGTGACTATATCAAACTAAAAAGCTTCTGTACAGCAAAAGAAACAATCAACAAAGTGAAAACACAATCCATGGAACGGTAAAAAACATTTGCAAACCATGTATCTGATAAGGGGTTAATATCCAAAATATATAAAGAACTCATATTACTCATTAGCAGAAAAACCAAATAATCCAATTAAAAAATGGGCAAAAGACCGGAATAGACATTTTTCCAAAGACATAGGAAAGGCCAATAGGTAAATTAAAAGATGTTCAACATCACTAGTCATTAGAGAAATAAAATCAAAACCACAATGAGATATCATCTCATGCCTTTTAGAATGGCCATCATCAAAAAGGGAAGAGATAATGAATGTTGGCAAGGAGGTGGAGAAAAGGGAACCCTTGTGCACTGTTGGTGGGATTGTAAATTGGTACAGTCACTACGGAAAACAGTATGGAAGATCCTCAAAAAATTAAAAATAGATCTACCGTATGATCCAGCAATTCCACTTCTGGGAATATATCCAAGAAAACGAAAACACTAACTCAAAAAGATATCTGCACCTCCATGTTCATAGCAGCATTATTTACAATGGCCAAGACACAGAAACAACCCAAGTGTCCACAGACAAATGAATTGAAAAACAAGTGTATGTGTATATATATGCACACACATACACACACTAGACTATTATTCAGTCATGAAAAATAAAGAAATCTTGCCAATTTGCAAGAACATGTATGAACCTCGAGGGCATTATGCTAGTGAAATAACTCAGGCAGAGAAAGACAAACACTGTATGATCTCACTTATATGCAGAACCAAAAAAAATCAAACTCATAAAAAAGAGATCAGATTTGTGGTTACCAGAGGTGGGGGCTAAGGGGCAGGGGAATTGGAGAAAGGTGCTCAAAATGTACAAACCTCCAGTTACAAGATAAGTAAGTACTAGGGATGGAATATATAGAAGGAGGACTATAGTTAACACGGCCATATTATATATAGGAAAGTTGTTAAGAGAGTAAATCCTAAGAGTACTCATCAGAACAAGAAAAAAATTTTTTTCTTTTCTTTTTTTATTGTAGCTATATGAAATGACAGAGGTTAACTAAATTTATTGCAATAATCATTTCACAATATATGCAATCAAACCATTATTCTGCACACTTTAAACTTATACAGTGATGTATGTTAATTATATCTCAATAAAACTGGGGAAAAAAAGATTAGAATTTTCTGCTTCACTCAGTAAGCACTCAATATATTGCCAGGTTATATTCCCCAAATTCATAGATGCTGAGCTGCACCACCATGTTATTCTCAATGTGTGCTACCCCCAGAAACCAACTTTCTCATAAAATAACTAATGCTTTCACCCCAAGTTACATTGCTAAATGCTTCATTCAGAGAGAAGAAAGCCTCTAGCAACTCAAAAATGTCATATAGAATGATGCTGTCTTCACCTTGAAGTTTAATAGATCAACCAAACACAATCTGAGTTTGAAATATTTTATTTAACTCTCTTTTAAAATGAAAAGTGCAGTAAAAATGAAGAAAAAACTAAGGAATTAACACTAGTTCAATACTAATAACTAATAAAAACTTTATTCAAATTTCACTGGTTTTCCACTAATGACCTTTTCTATTCCAGGATCCTATGTTGCATGGAGAATTAATTCATTTTTCAACAAATATTTATGAAGTGTCAACTATTTTAGATACTTGGCTTATATCAGTGAACAGAATAGACAAAGAAAAAAAAGCCCTCTGCCCTTGTGGAGCAGACCTTGTAGCAGAGGGAGAAGACAAACAACAAACATAATAAATAATTATAGGATATGTTAGAAGGTGACACTTGCTGTGGGAGAAAACAGAGAAGAGGAAAAGGTGGTTTGGGAGCGCTGAGGGGAAGGCTGCAATTTTAAACAAGGCAAGTAAGGCATACCTCCTTCAGAAAGTGACAGCTGAGCAGATTTGAAGGAGGGGAGAGAGATGCATTGATCCTTCTAAAATACTACTAGGTTCTGTTAGCCAATTTGTTTTAGGATTACCGCATCAATATTCTTAAATGTTATTGACCTATAAGTGACATCCTCATCTGATTTTAGTATCAACTTCATGCCAGCCTTGTCCATCCATTTTATTCCACAAATATATATTGTGGATATAACAACTGTTTCCGGGAGATTTGGCAGAACTCACTAATAAAAGCAACTGGGCTCGGTATATTTTTACCAATAGATCTTTAAATATTTTTCGAAAAACATCTTCTACACAGGAACCTACACCTTGATCAACTTTTGGTTATTTCCATTTTCCTAGAAACATCTACAATGTCCAAATTTTCAAACATATTGTAATAAAATCATACACAGCATTCTCTCATACCTTCACAATTCATGTCTGAACCTATTTACCTCATCTTTTACACTGTGTCCTCCCTCTTTCTTATTGATCAGACTCCAAGTTTTGTCTATTTTAATGGTCTTTACAAGGAATCCGTTTTCTGTTTTAATGATCGATCTACATTTTTTGAGTTAGTCATTAGGAATGTCCATAGAGATGACCATGAGACTTGCTTTGGCCAATTAAACTCATTTGGGCAGAGGCTTTAAGGGCCAGCAAGGGCTTCATAGTCCTATTTCTCTGCCCAGTGACCAATGGTGTTGCAGATGGTAGAGGCTCCAAAAGCCCAGGTCTCAAAGTGAGGACACGCAGCAGAGCAACTGGGAGCCCCTTGATGGACACGTGCTTTCCAAAGCTCACAAAAATCCCAACAATGCATCTGGATCTGAAACTGCTGTCAATAGATTTGTACCCCGCACTGATGACAGCCACTCAGTTTCATGAGTCTTACTGTTTATGTTTTGCTTAATACAAGAGAAGAGGTTTGCTTTCCAAATACTAATGACCCAAAATTTCTAACTTTCGTAGAAACACATGCTTAAGAGTAGATGTTAATGTTTGAATGTTTCACTGACACCAGCTTAAGAAGATTAATGTGGAAGCGATGGTGTGCCACCAATTTCATCTAATTATTCTTACACTTGGTTGGAAAGAAAGAGTGATTAATAAGCACCTAGATGACACAACATGTTATTCATGGTAAAGTAACTAATGATACATAGGAAATCTATTCTTGTGAAGAAAAGAGAAGCTAATAAATCTTTTTGGTCCCATTCAATAAAATAACACATACCACTCCTTGTTCAAAGACTGGTCTGTCAGCAAATATAGATCAGTTTTACTAGAGATAAATCCATTGTTCCTTCAATATACACATTTTTATGATTAAATGGACTCTTTCTATGATGCTCTTGGCAATATTTTTGGCTTTTTGTGAAGCCAATACTTGAGTTTTTCCTTGTGCCCATGGGATGAGTGCCACTTGTTGATATAGGCATTTCCTCTAGTACAGAAGCCAACTTTCCAAATCTCCATTACCTCTGAACACTAAGAACTCAGGATTGGACCCAGCCAACCAGGTTCTGGGACTCTTGGCCTGGAGGTCCAAGAGTCACTGCAGAATGAAGGTCTCCGCCTGCCCCACAACTCAATCTGCAGAGGGGCATAAAGCTAAAGCACTCTCTGATTATCAAAAGCCCCCACTAACACTATTACTGGAAGTACTCAGGACAAAGTATTTGATGCAGAGAATAAAGAAGAGACCAATAATCCTATAACCAGACTGGGAGAAATGATTCCTTCACTATGCTAGCCATTATCAAAAACACTGCTGTTTTTTAGGGGTTTTTTGTTGTGGGTTTTCAAACCATTCATAGACTATGAACTTTGTTCAATATAAAGTGGGAGCTTCATAAAAATTATATAATTGTAGTTATTTACTCTTCCCTCTTGTAGGTATCTATGCTTCTTACATAGCATGGGGGAGGGAGACGGCAGAACAGTAATTGTTCCTGCTCCAGATGATGACATGGTTCTCTGGGGGACTGAAGACAGCTACTACTGTGGCCTAGATCATAATTTTCCCCAGAACGAATGCTAAACACATGTGAAGAGCAGTTGAGAGGGTGTAAATATGAATTAAGAACACTTCTATTAACTTCTATCAAATTGAGTTATTTCATTTCTCCTAGGAACTTTAATAAGATTTGTTCTTGCTGTTCATAACCACATTAGCCTACAGGGGATAAATTATGCACTGAAAACCATCACATTTACTTCTTAAAGTCAGAGTAGAGGATTATATGAAGGGAGAAAACATGAGGGTAAATATGCGGGGCCACAACTCTTCTTGGGCACATCTGGAAGACTGGGGTGAAGAGAAAAGGGAACCGCAAGTTTGATTCAAAGACCTTGGGCCAGAAGTGGAGGGGAGGGATGATTCTAATTAAAGACTGTGTCCTCAGCAGACGCTCCTCTAGCACCACCCCTCTCCCCAAAAAGGCTTTCCTGAGTGCCAGGGTGAAAGGACTGTAACAGAAGGTGAGGTAGGATCCTGATGTCTTTTTTTTTTAATCCCTATGGCTCATGAATAATGCAAGATCCATACCATTGGTGCCCAAACACATGCAAGGAAAGCAGTGTGAGGAGAGACAGAAGCAGGTGATGACCTGTGACAGGGCCTTTGGCACAGGGTCGGGGCCAAGCACCAGCGGCGTCTGTGTTGACCTTGGCAGGCAGCAGCAGAGCAGCCTCGTGGGCCCGAGCCAGGACAACGCCGTACTAAACATTTATTGATATGGCACTATGTGCCACAGCCTGTACCCCAAGCACTTTACTTACAGCATCTCATTTAATCCTTACATAAACAGAGAAGGGGCCACAGTTCTCTCCTTTTTACAGATAAGGACACTGAGGTTAGTGAGGTGAAGTGCAACTTGCCAAGGATCACCCAGGAATGCAATGGTAAAGCTGGGATTCAGTCTGCTCGATAGCAGAAGCCATGCCCCTGCTCACCATGCAGCACTGCCTGGTGACTACAGTAACCCAAGCAGGAGAGAGGAGGGAGGGTGGCAGAGTCAC